CTGGTGCTGCTGCTCCTGCAGTAGCTGCAGCTGCTGCCTCTGCTGGTGCTGCTGCTCCTGCTGGTGCTGCTGCTCCTGCTGATGCTGCTGCTCCTGCTGGTGCTGCTGCTCCTGCTCCTGCTGCTCCTGCTGGTACTGCTGCTCCTGCTGCTGCTGTAAAACCAATGTAGTATACCAAGAGCTCACACATCGACTTTGTTAGAAAATAAAATTATTACAATTAGTTTACTTATGTATATTCTTATTTTATACATTAAATAAATAATATTTATAATTACTATAATATTTTCACATTATACACCCGTACAAGATAATTTTTACTGTTCATAAATAAAATAACAATATATAAATAAATTAATAATATACATTATATATCGTTAATAAATTTTTTATTATAATAAAAAATTATTTACTTCTCAATATATAAACAAAAAGAAAGTAGAATATTTGTACAATTTTTATTATTATATCTTTCTATAAAAACATTAACGAATTAACTGCGAAAAGAAAGGAGACAAAAGAATAAATATCTGCTCTCTTCTACTAATCAAAATAAGCCGAAGCTATATGTTATATAGTTCACTGATAAAAACTCTAGATTCAGAATTACCAACTATAGGAAAGAAATTTTCTGTCTCTATATTCAGTAATACAACACAAACAGAGATAAACAAGGCAGATAGAAAACTGTAGAAAACGTTATTTACTTATTTTGCACAAATATTTGATCATTGTGGAAAACAAGATACTGCAATCATGTCTACGGTGATTATTTGCATCTTCAAAATGTGTTATGTAACCGTAGATAATATTGAATTTCAGACATTTTAATGCATATTATGTAGATCATAATTTCCTAACCTCCGCGATTTGTTATTGACATTTGATAAATTTCGCATTTTGTAATATAAATGTAAGGCATAATTTGTTTTTATTTTTTTTACATAATTTTGATGTGTATATACATATATTTATTTATATACAAATCAATATCACAAATACATTATCAGTTGCCAAATTGTATTGGGCTCAATATTAATTTTGATGATGGAACTCTAATATTATTTGGTCAAATGTTGCAAAAGATAGAAGCTTAAAATGTATTTAATAGTGAAAAAAGTATTAATATTTGTATATAAATATATATAGTGAAAAAAGTATTAATATTTATATACAAATTATAATAGATTGGTTTTATTATGTTGAAAAATAATTCTTTTACAGCGACCTGACGACCATAGGAGAAAATGGAACCGAGAGGAATATGAAAGGATTGCACTTCAAAGACTCCAAGATGAGATTGCAGAAGAAGAATTGGGGATTCCTAAACAACCAGCAGTTAAAAGAGAATTACTCAAACAAAGAGATTATAAAGTAGATCTTGAATCCAAATTAGGAAAAAGTGTTGTCATCAATAAAAATACACCGTCTTCTCAAACTGGAGGGTATAATTAGTTTTTGAATATTTTTTAAAGACTTAAGTGTACATTCCAGGTTAATTAGTAACCTAATTAATTAAATAATGTACAGAAATTATTTTTATATAGTAATGATTTATTTTTGTAAAAATGTTCTTCATTAAAGTATTATTGATCATAATACTGTTATTGTGTTTCTATTAATAGATATTACTGCAATGTTTGCGACTGTGTTGTTAAAGATTCCATTAACTTTTTGGATCATATTAATGGGACAAAACGTAAGTTTAAAAATCATTAACATTATGGTACACAAGTAAAATATGTTTAAGTGTAACTTTTAATTTTTAATTGTTATTGACAGATCAACGAAATCTGGGCATGTCCATGAAGATAGAGCGATCTACATTGGACCAAGTTAAAGCGAGATTTGCACAGAATAAGAAAAAACTCGAGGAGAAGAAGAAAGATTATGATTTGGAGCAAAGAGTAAAAGAACTTAAAGAAGAGGTTTGTTTATACTTCAAAGATTATGCTTGAGATTATTATTTTATTTACTGTAAAATTTGTTAATAGAAATTAATAGAATTATTTTTCTATTATTCATAGGAAGAGAAGATTAAAGAGTATCGGAAGGAAAAGCGAAAGGATAAAAAGAGGAAAATTGAAGAAATGGCCGACGATGATGCAGGGCCCTCGGATGACATGGCTGCAATCATGGGATTTTCTGGTTTTGGTTCGAAAAAGAAGTGACATACTGTCTCCGTCCAACATTCATGAACCATTTTCGCTATTTTCAAAGAGAATGTTATTTCTTTGAGAAAACTGGTGGCCAATATAACTTGAAGACAGTTAAAAACGGATAAATGATAAACAGTTTTAATTCCAATCCTTGGAATTGAAGAAGGTGATTCGCGATTTGTAAAGTATTTTTTATTTTTATTAATATATATATAATTGTTCCGGGCTTCGTGTTTATTCGAGACAGGAGAAAACATTATCAATTACAAATCCGACCAAATAAGCATAACAAATCAAACATGAGCTTACAATAGTAATTTAATTAAAATTAATTAGTTAATTAAGATTATTTGGGCACAAATTTGGGATGTAAATAATTTTAGTATATTCTCGAAATGATTATATGGTAATAAAATCCCTGTCAAGTTCTTTTACAAAAATGCAGGACTTTATACTCGACTGGTATAAAAGAAGAATATACGTATTATATGTGCAGATATGAAATTATGAATTGGTCCAAAAATTCATTGATATCCCTTGCTCTCCTTTAATATATGGCTGCTTAATGCTGTATTTTAATATATAAGTTTTATTTATTTTAACTTTAATGAGATACACAATTATCATAGAATTTACTTCTAGATTACGAAAAAAAAGTATAATTATATCTCTGTCAATTCTTATTATTACGGTATGCGTAATTTCCTGGTTAATGCAATGAGAAACATAGAGACAGCCTACACAAGTTTGAGCGAACGAAAGTGGCGATTCCTATTCATCTTTCTCTTCCGCAGACTCTTTCTCTCTCCTCTCTCTCGAGACCGACGAACGAGAAAAAGAGGAGGGAGACGAGTCGACGCGCATGAGATTTTCTCGACTCTCGTCTCCCACCTAGTGAAAGATCCGGAGAATCTTCTATAGCGGGGCCCCCCGGGCTGGGGGCCAGACTCCGGGGCCGGAGCAACGGCGCAGTGCACGCACAGCACGTACAACACGTAGTTCACCTCTCGCGGCGAGGCTCTCGCAGCAGCAATAGTTAAACCGCCAGGCCGTTATTCGAAAGTCCGCGGAAGCCGCGCGTATCGAAATCGCGCGCGCTTCGCTCAGCATATCTCAGTCGTTCGCACGTGACGTTGCGCGACACGCGAACCGTCGCCACGTGCCACTGTCGTTCACCCCATTTTGACGTTTTTACATTCGATAACGATCTCGCGTTTTCAACATGAACTGAGAGAACTCGAGCATCTTCGGTGGAGACGGAAAGAAAAACATCAGTGATCCAAATTCTTATTACTTTTGGAAACGAGTGTTGTATTGTTTCTTCGGAGGAAGAATGCTGAAGAAGAGAAAGAATAAGTCAATTTGCTGGAATGTGTAGCGAAGATATTTTTGGAGCAAACGAAAAGTGTTCAACCAACAGTGCCTGCATAGAAAATAAGTAATAAAATAAGGGAATATATATTTCAATATTGAAAATAGACACAACGTGAGAAGAGAATTAATATTTTTGGAGAGGAGACAAGTTCGTTGCCGAAGACTTTCTACCTGGCAAAGAAATCGGAACTAAACGTTTCATTGAAGATACTTTCGTATTGAGAGTTGCGGTTCTTTTGAAAGAAATATAAAAGAAAGGGTAATCTCTGAAGAACACTATCTGTATAGAAAAGATATAAGAATTATACTTGAGAGCAGCCAAATTAACAATTCTCTCACGAAGTTTCGAATAATTATCAATTCAATTTGGAAGAAGAAACGAGTCAACACTTGCAAAATATATCTTGAAGGAAAAAGCGATAAAATTTCAAATAAAAATATTTTAATATGAAGACAGATCACTCTCTTTAATGAATCTTGAATGAAACTGCTTGAAGCGGCTTTTAGTCAAATTCTAAATAATATTCTTTTTGTTTCTTTAATAAATCGCAGAGAAATTTTCAGACTACACAGACGGCAAAGTTAAGTCAACGTATATCTACGGAGAGATATTCTAACATTGATAACTAATATCAATTATCATTAGTGTCTTGTGACGAGCCACCTCAGATAAGCCAGATCGGTCTCACAAAAAAGCATCGATCGATACATCGCTTCTCTAAATCTGAATTTTACCACCCTAATAATTTATCACCGATCGCCCACCACGGTTCTCTCGCACGCTTTTCTAATTACAATCAATTAACAGTGCCGACTAATGTACGTACGTGGAAAATGCGACAAGCGACTGCAGCGAGTCCATCGGACTTGACACACAGCTCGATGGTTTGACGAACATCGGCGGCGATTTTACAAGCGTCTCGACCGCGGCACACGCGCATTCGTTTCAAATTGAAGAGCGAGACGTCACTCTCGAGGGCCGACGATGTCGCGAACTCTGCAGCCGATCGAGGAATCCAACCCCGGCAAGTCATCGGGTAAGACATTTTGAGTTTTCAATTTATTCATTAAAGAGATCGCCTCAACAACAACGTCGTATTAACAATATTTTTTAGGGATGCTATATATCATCTTGTGTCCCCAAAAATTCCAGAACACATTTATTAACAAGGTAGAAATTAAATTGCGACTTGAAATATCTAACATCTTTCCATTCTGCGCGTCAAAGTCGCAAAAGCTTCTTTTAAGGCACGATGCGTTTTCTTATTTCAAAACAACGACCGCTTTCCTTTCTTTTCCACGGAAGTGAAAAGGATCGGATGCACGCGCTGTATTATTATCCGTTCTACGGAGCCTGCCCACGACTTTGTTTCTAACTCTTGTTTTCGAAACAACCCGCGACCGCTCGTGCGTGATCAAACGGATCATTTAAGTAGATCCGGCGAAACGGGCTACGTTCTGTCGACAGGAATTTACGCTTCACAACATTCACGTTCGATTGTTGAAATTCCGAAAAAGCGCGTGACGCGCCAAATTGATATTTGCGTGTAGGCTTATAAAAGCCACGAATTCGTCCTAATTAAGATTACTTTAGTATTTAAATTTTAAATTGATCTATTAAGATAGAAAATTTCAAGTTTCTGAGGAGATGACAATTGCAGACATAAAAAACTATCAGAAAAAGACATGAAATAAGATCGGCATGTAATAAAAGCAATAATAGTCACGATGACATGTTATTATTGTGACTGAAATAGATTCACATATTATTATTATTATAAAGCCAAAAATTACTGAAATTATTTCAGCGTATATTAATTAAATTACTACAAACGCGTCTCGTAATTCCAGATTTTTATATTAATCGTGTGCTATGCAAGCTTTTTGTTCGTATCGGAGTACGCAATAATTAAATGAGAAATACTGCCTTTTACCATCGTTTTCATATAAATAATTACGCTCGAAGTTTCGATCGCGTCGCAATGTAGCGTGGCGAACAATAGTGCTGTAATTAAATCGGACAATATTTCGAGAAACTGCGGTTCATTATGGCGCGATTAATCATTTAATCTCCGCTCGCCAAACGTAACACTCGCCGGCGTCTATTAGTTACGAATTGCGATCTACTTTCACAATTAACGTCGGCCAGACGTGTGTTCGCACTCGGTAAAGTATTCCTGCTATAACAGGTGGAACGTGAAAACTAACGGCTGTCGGAAAGATCGAAAAAATGAATGATCCATTTGCGTCAATTATCTGCTGACCATACGTCAAAGTGTTCTAATTCTTTAACGACAGAGCTTCTTACACTAAATATAAAAGTCATATTGTTAATGAATTGTTACTCCGTATTTTTTAAAAATACAATCTTTAATAGAAACTTTTGTTTGCGCAATTATCAAAGTTCGAGACCAAAAATAATGTAGAAAATAGTGAAATTTATTTTTGCGCAAAAAATCAAGGAAAAATATGCAACAATCAACAAGCAGCATTTTATATAATATTATTGAGGAAGCTTAAACATAAGCTTATGCGCCTAATGCATGTCTCGTCTTACGTAATTACATTAGAAAGACGCACGCAATTACACGCTATTCCGTCAGAAATGTGAGAAGACAAGATGATGCGTTATCCATTTCAAATGAGCATCTCGCTGATCATAATTATACGGGAAGAATCAGCCATTTGAACCCGCCAACTCTGGCGAGAGAAGTTTCCTCAACTGAATTAATCCAAATAATCTAAAAGACATTCTGATATATCTACCTTTTTTTAACTAATATGTCGCATAAAAGAATATTTTGCTAAAATTAAAAAAAAAATTTTTTTTGGAATTATTTAGTATTTTATGAATCTAACGATGAGCAATAATTTAACTAATAAAGCTTAATTAATCATCTCTTCCTAAATATTTTATGTTTGAAAGGATATAGAAAATCGATTAACAATATGTCCTAAATTCTTTTCATAAGAATGAACTCGATGGAAGTCAAATTGCAAAATTAAAAAGCACATAAAAAGAGTTTAAATTCTTCTTCAACTTGTTGGCGTTGTCCTGCTGTGTTCATTGAAAATTCTATTAAGCATTTTCTTATACGAAATAAATTGAATCGTCGCCACATGCGCGCGCATTTTCTGAAATGTCATAATAATCGACGTGTCAATTTAATCAAAACAATAGCCGAAAGTATTTTTATAAAATACAATTATTATACTATGAAGATATAAAAAGCGACTCTAGCTGTTAGCTACAAGAGAAGTATTCGAACTGCCCAAGGCGTCCTGGACTTCACTCTGGGTCCAGTTTTTGATAGGTTCATAGACAATGCCCAGTCTCGCATTTGCCGCGACATTTCCTGCGACGGACACCGGTTCCCTCCGCACCGCTTGTACGAAAACGTACAGAACATCCGGTTCGTCGTTCTTCGTAACGTAAAGAATTCGGACCTCCTTGCTTCCGTAGCCGCCCGCCGCCACGCTCACGTGACCGTTTCCGTGGATGGACGCGGCGATCACGCAGCTGATGAAGTAGCCTGATCGCGCGTAGTGCGCGTCCATTCTGGTGTTCACCGAGAGATGTGACTCCCAGGTGATCAGCCGGATGTGCCGCGCCGACGCCTCTTCTTGGGTGAGCACATCGCCTTGCATCAGCCACGTCGCTCTACGGAGAGAGAAGTTCGCGGTCTGCGAAGGTCTGGAAGGCCCGCAACTGGGGTTTCGCAAAAGCCGTTATGAGGCAAGAGATTTCCTCCCTTCGAAACGCGAGAAGATATCGGAGAGAATTTTGCATCATCCGAATTTCTTCAACGTTAATGTGAAATCGCGGATTGCGAAGCACAAGATCGAGATGATACTTCGCGAAGGAAGTTCCAATCAGATTAATATTATTCGAAATTGAAATTAATTGATTTCAACGAAAGGACATGTCGCAGCTCTCCCTTTTTCTCCCCGACCGATTAATCAACAATGAAGGGCCAGCGAGAGCTAAATCATAGCTGACACTATGTACACTTCCAATTCCAGATGAGCAGTTTAAATTATAATAAGGCAGTTTGCCATTTAAAAGGGTCAAAAAGTGAACCCGGAACATTTATTGGCGATATGCACATTTAAAATTCGAATACGCAACTGCAACTCAGACTTTCGTCGGTCCTTGTTGATTAAATTTGAGTCTTTAACGTCCAACATTTCTAAAATCTTAATAAACATCTGATTGGACCTGAAATATCTCGCAGTGCGAGACGTGTAGACGCCACAAATGATAATTCTAATAAGCCTCGTTCTTTTCACAAGTTTGATCTTTAACGTTGACAGCTTTTGGAATCCGACGAGTAAAACTGTTTGATACGAATGTGATACTCACCTCTCATTTTGCACCGAACTCAAAGCGCAATGGAACATTAGAATCACGAAAAGATAAACGCGCGTCATGACGGCCGATGAACTGGTATTCGCTTGGCGATATTGCCTCTTCAATGTTGTGACACTATTCGGTGTTTTTGGCCCGATCGTTATCGCGCTCCCTAACTGCCGTGTGTCCCTGAGCTAGACGGTAGTGGAACGTGTACTAAAATAAATGAGAAGAGCACACAGCAACAGACGCGGGCTGCTGTTGTGATGATTCCTCCTCTTCTTCTTCTTCCTGTACTGCGCGTCATTTACGCGCGCGAGTGTTCTTCGGCGCATTTTTGATCGTTTAAATAAAATGTCACAAGTTTGTCGACAAATGTGATAATCGATCTCTCGAATACGCTATTTGCGCGAACTTTGATCTCGAGATAATTTCGATTGAAGTAAATATCGCGGCAGATTGTACGAATCGCACGAAACTTTCCTTATTTAATCGCAAATCTGAATTCTATATCATGTTAATGTCACGAATTTCCGGAACATACGATCTGATATTTTATTTGGTCTTTATTTCTTCTTGTAATCTACAATAGAATGTATACTTCTCGCGACAAAATTTCTCAATTATCGTGTTCATATTTGGCGGAGAAAAATTTATTCAAGAGAATTGTGCGGAAGAGCGACAAATTCGAATAAGAGTGACAACGTATAATAACTCTGTATGCACATCTGCTATTATGTTGTATCATTCAACGCTGGAATTATCGTCCTAATGCGACACGGCGCTTATAATTTTCTACACGCGCGCGCACGCTTAACGCGCCTTAATATATATACTTTGGGTTTGTTACGATCGGACGGTGTATTAACCTTGGCGCAACGGATCTTGCGCCGTCCGCGGAAGTACAGCTATTTCGTAAAAGGCGATGATTATCAGCCGGAGAACGCCTTGACTCCGCGCCGCTAAACAGGGTCATATCCGTCTATTTTCCCGCGTAGAAAAATGTCGCCGATTGATGTTGAAAAATACATTTGTATCACGGGGATGCCTAGGCACAGAGTTCAGAGTTTAATGGTCGGTTATTATCCGTAATTTCACGGCAACGACAGCTGATCGATTACCCCGTGTATCAATTACCATATACATGCACGAGAATGCCGCAAGGTGGAAGAGTAGTGGGGAGTAGCCAACAGTTGAAGAAGAATCTTAATTTTTATCGGCCTTTTTGGTTTATCACTAGGTCACTTGTGTCTGTATTTTCTACCCGGCAGCTTGCAGAATTTATTTAAGCGTACGGCTAATGTGTTTTTTAGAGCGGATATCCTCTTTCAAAATTTTTTTGAAGGAATTCTTCTTCGTGTATTTTTACTTTTATTGATATAATTATTATAGGTATTTGGATACTTCTACAAGTGCGTTAAACTTGTAGTAAAATTTTCATTCTACAATTATTTTTGCTTCTGTTCTTCGTGAGTTTATATCTCGATGTATAATCGATATTACGAATCGCTCATCCGATAATTTAAATTATTCCATCTGATCCTTTGTGAAATGTTAACAAACAGAGAGAGATAATGATCGGAAAACGCGCAACTATCCTGAATGTACAAACGAGTTATCTATATATCGCAAAACAACAACGTCGGAAATGAATTACACCACAATAGATACGAAACGTATGATATTAAGGTATTGCTGACATCGCTTTAGAATAAACAAGGTTTGCGAAAGATTGTGGCAAATTTGTAATATATATGTATTTAAATCTTTAGACGCTATCACAGTTTGAGATTTTTGAAAAACAAACATCGTTTGTTCAAACCACGTTCTTTTTTTATATATTTATTATAAAACCGGCGAAAATTCAGTTACTTCTAAATAGTTGAGTAATCAAATACAAAATGTAGTCACGATATGGAGATTTCTGGACTTCAAAGTTTAAAAGGCAAAATTGTCGCGAGCGAAAATTGAAAATGCGAAAAGTCGACGCCGTCGGTAAAGAATGTGAAATCCTCTTTTTCACGAATCTGGTCACGAACGAGAGCTACATCCATCTCATCGACCTCCAGCCACCACCCTGACGACACCGCGATATTGTTTCTCGTGAAGCTAAAGTAGCCGAGTGCCATTTGCCTTTTACGTGCGAGCCGGTAGACTCGATGCTGGATCTAATAGCAAAAATTCTAGACATTAACAAAACGTTATAGATTACGGGAAAAGTGATTCTCGCAACTAAAGAATTATCCGTGTGATCTCGCAGTGCAAAGTTCGTAAGTTGAAACGATTCCACTGAGATATGATTGATTAATTAATTTTATGCCCTTCGATCTTCAAAACAAGTCAAAGGTGAGCGCAATAATCTTCAAGACTAAAATTTGCAAAAAATTATCGACGCTTCGGAAGAGAGTAAAATAAGTTATACAAAACCAAGAAAAATAACTTTTGTAACTGTAAAACTTATCCACTTGATTTTGTGTTATTAAATTATTACAATAGTATCGATTTTCTTAGAGTGTCATAAATTAACTTATTTCACATGCTGAAATTCTCAACATAAATTCCAAGAAAGCAATGATCTCCAAGTTTAAGGTCCCGAAAAAATCCGAAACGTTTTCACGCCGTGTTTATTTCAACATTCGCCGAGTGTCAAGAATTTACCGCTCGATTCGTCCCTATTTTCGCGAAATAAACCACGGATTATCGCTCTCTCGTTGCTCTTAATAGAGTACGCATATCTCGTCTCGTTAGTCACGATCGGCTTGTGCGTGACATCCGGCGCGGGCCGTTTGACACGAAGAATTCATCAGAATGGTGGCCGAGTTGGCTGGCATTTTCACGGCGACGGTCGACGGACAGGCAGCTCCGGACGCATCTGGCGGCACCTCGAAACAGTGCAAACGACCCAGATGGATCCAGACGGCGACGCGTGAGCCAATCTATAGCATCCTCGATAGCAACGGAACCGTCGCAGCGAAGAGTCTTCCTCCGGATGTTCAGCGCAAGATCGTGATAATTAGCGCGGTGAGGAACGAGCCGAGTCGCAAGTCTGACGCGGAGTGTGTCTGTTCACCCTCGCGGGGCAGAACGTCGCCGATTGTCGAGGTCGAGGACGAAGACACTCTTTACAGCGTGGTGAGAAAGCCGAAGAAAGTGCGGTTACCGGAAACGTCCTGCGAGAACGAAGTGATTCGATCCATCGACAAGACTCCGAACGAGAGCACCGATTCCGGAGAAAAGTCCGGGCAACCGCTGGACCCCGAAGACGCGTCCAGACGAATCGGGGTGAGGAAGTGGTTGGGAGACACGCCTAGACAGTTACGTTCGGATCCGCCGGAGATGTACGCCGACGAATCCGAGTACGAGAACCCTTGGCCCGACCGTGAGAACTCGGTGGCGCTACCCAGAGGAGTGGTGGGTCTTGTAGGGCCTTACAGAGTGTACGGGAATCCTAACGAGAGGAGAGAATACATGCTCCAAGAGGAGGAGCTCGTCGAAGAGGCGGTGGACTCCGCGAGCGAGAAAGTGCAGGAGCAGGAGGGCAGAGATCAGCACCGTCAGCGGGCGAAGTGGAAGATTAGGGAGGATGACGAGGAAACTTTGGTGCCGGACATCCGAGAGCTGCCGGGCCTGGAAAGTTTCGCGGAGACGAAAATGGAGGACGAAAAGAGTGGGAATGATGATTGGAAGATTGAGCGGAGATCGGTGTCGAAAATGGAGAAATTGGGATGCGTTGAGGGGATCCTGTCCGGTAAAGAGGAACGCGCGGTGGATGTACCGGATACGGTGTCCGCGGTCTCAACGACACCGATGAAGGACAAGTGGGGTGAGGAAATTTGTCTTGCGAAGATCGCGCGAGATACTTTTACGCTTTAATCATTTTGTAAATTATGCTGATTGCCGCACAAAAAATGATCGCTTAGAATACAATCTATATTTTTCAGGAGAAAATTTATACCTTTCGAATGATATACAAGAGCCGTACAAATTTATTTTCCGCTTCTTTTTTCAAATTTTGGAATTTTCAGCCTGCTTTGAATGATCTATAATTCACGATAGAATTTGAGGCAGAAATGCGTTTATAATTTCATATAATATAATAGAAAACATTTGAGGAATTAATGTATGCGCGTGTAAAATGTATATCATTGATATGTATTTTGTACATGTGCAAACTTTGACAAAAATGCCTTTTATATTATACAGTGTATGAAATTATAAATAGAATTTTACCGCGTAAATTATAAATCACCCAAAGTATATTTTAATTTCATGAGGAATTATATCTAAATTACATGCACAATTATATATTTATCTATGAATAATAATTATGTACGCAACAATGTTGGTAAACTAGTAACATGGGCTATGGAATATTGGGCGCTATCAATTTATAAATTATAATTAAAATCGTTTGCATAGAAGTTGATCAAACTGATATTAAATTAATATTATAAACATGCGAGGTTCGAATTTATTCGAACGAACATCAATTAAAATTAACCAAACGTTTAACGACGAATTGCTGCAACAATTTCTGCAAATCGATGTACATATGCGTCATGTACATGCCAATGATCTCTTGTATCACGGTTAATCCACTTGTAAATTATGATCAGGTGCATTTAATAGATTGCGAGATTAATTCCGGCGTACGCGACGATGGCGCATAATTTGACAAAGTGTGTCGCGTGCATTTGGTATGCGAGGCGACACTTGTCTTACGGTATTGTCCGGCAAAAAGGACTCGCGTAGCGGTAGATGGTACACCGGGTATGCATACGCATCAACTTGTCAATACGTGCGAAGTGTGGCTCATGAGCCAACGATAGGTCAACATTCGTCTAGTGCACTTCTGTGCACCTGTTTCTTTGTTACAATCCCGCCTATGTTGTCCGAGCAACGGTGAATGGTCTCGTTCGATTTGTAAACTTGGATTCTACACAGTAGCCAGCATTCACGCATAATTTAAGGCCAGGATATTAGATTTCATTTCAATACCTTGCGCGATGATATTTGAGTTTTCACGAAATGGAAATGTCGACATGTATTTTCTGTTGTGCATTTTTACACGAATTTTACTTCAAGTGTGTTTGGAGTATGAAAATTTGCACGATAAAAAAAGGAAACATTATTATTATTTGAAGCGTTGACAAAACTCGACGCGATTGTTAGTCATCAATAAATATTGACAATTTTATTTCGTTAATATTTTTACCTGCACTATTGCGTTTTCTAGCCAAAAGTGCTTTAACACATTGCCATTTTTTTTGGTTTAGCAAGTTTGTTCGACGATTAACAATTCAATCTCCAGTGACGTTAAAAAGTTGAAACCGTGTTAACGGTTTTTGACGTTCTTCACATACGTCATTTCATTGTTGAAGGATTAAAGCGAGTAACACACGCAGCTTTCTAGTCAAGTCCAGTTCGCAGTTGTTGCTTTCTTTCGAGAGACCTTTCATTATATCTTCGTCCGATATGCTGTGCTCTTCGGCTGTGCTCGGCCGCTACATTGTGTATCACATAAATTGCGCGCGCGCGACTTTCACCATTTTTACACACCTTTTACCGTCCGCTCGATCGACATTTTTACGATCGGAGAGTTATCGGGGGATTTTTAATACCACGACACTCTTCGCTGTTTCTTCGCGCTCGCGCATCGCCGTTTAGTTTCCTGGTTGACTGGCCGGCCGGGCGCTTTTTATGCAAGCGGCGCATTATCTCTCCGCGGTGGAGTATAGCGCGTTGCATCCGCGCGGATACAGATTTGCATCGAGGAAATTAGAAAGCATGCATAGCAAACGAGCGTGAATTATTCCATCGTGAATTAGACTATGCGAGTGTGATATAACCGTTCCGAGCAACGCCGTCGTATTTCGCGACAGATCGCCGTAATTCTTCAACGCCGCCAGCGGCGTAAAAATCGAGCGCGCGCGCGCGAGCGGGAGAAAAGACCCTTATTATTCTTGCACATAACTTTTCAGGCCATTCCACTGCGCATCGTTTTCTCCTCCGTCGTGGAGAGAAAAACAGCACCTCGGAGAGATAAGATCGCAGCGCGCGCGAGAGCGAGTGAAGGGATGAGATAATTTTAAGCAATATATACGATATTCTTACGCAATGATTTAAAATCCGACTGGATCCGGAATCGAATTTGCATTCGGTACTTCGACGAGATCCGGTATATTTAGCATAATAATGTGACGGCATGAATATAACATCGGGCATTAATATATAATGCTTCTCTCAGATCTCTATTTGAGAGAGCACATTTAAAACTAATAGAAAGTTTTGACTCGATCGATAGAAACTAAGTGTGATCTTACACTGTTTCTCACGATACTTTTAATTTAGTTTTCATAATTTCTTTTTTTTTTGCAATTATGAAAATACACCACTAAAATGTTAGTTGTTGAAGCACCTGTTAAGCCACTTGTTAATTAGCGTTCTTTCGCCAGGAGCAAGTAATAGTACGAATAGTAAAAAAAAAAAAAAATAAGACTGAAGGTAAGAAATTTTATCGCAGGCAAATTGGCTAATTAGCTCGCAATTAAACATATTTATGGAAGCAAATGATGGAGTACGCTTCCTCACTTCTCCCTCGCCATTGTAACTTACTTTCGTGTTCTACTCTGAGCAACACCGTGACTCCATTAATCGTCGCGCAACATCGATCTGTCAGCCATATGACGCCACCGTTACTAAAAGACAGGCCGGCAGTCACTGTTACATATAACTGATTCTCTGTAGTTAGATGATGCTGCAGCTGCACCGTGCCGAACATCGCCGCCGGTCTGTACAGTTAACCACTTTTCTCGGCACGCGGCGGCGGCGGCGGCGGCGGCGCGGACGGAGCAACGCACAATCGCATCTGCGCGAAAATACACACATACATATGCGCGTGAGAGAGTGCGTCTTACAACGCGCGATCTCCTCTCGCGAAACTAACCATACGGTTTCGACTTTTCGACGCAGATGTTCTTCTCGTTGAGAGAACATCTCACTAAGAATGTCTACCTTCGGTCATTATGAAAGTGCTGCCGCGAATAACGACGATATGCACGGTGATAGATCTGCCTGAACAAATTATAGGAAAGACAAAACGGCACGAAACTGCGTCGCCGGTCTATAATCAAGAAGAGGAACAAATTAGAACCGGAAGAGAGTCGAGGAAGTGTCAGGAAAACTAGCGATTTCATTTCGCACCATCGCGAGTGCGACGGCTTCGAGCGTGATATTTGTTTACTTAAATACAATTTAAATAAAATAGAATATAATTATAGTATTTAATCCATAAGACATTTGTTAAATTGAAGTATACAGAAAATTTGAATTTTTTTACAACATTTGCCTTTCCGTCTCTGATTTTATTTTCTCTTTACACAAGAAAAACCGAAAAACAAATTTTCTAATTTCACATTATTGTGTAATTATTTTTTCCTGCGATATTCAACACGATTTCCACATTTTTCAATTAAACATACTTTTTATTTGAGAAAAGTCTAGTTTAAATCTCCGGGTTATAAGCGGTCCCGTTATAATATAAGCTATTGCACCAGCACGTTTTTACAAAACTACATCTCGCATCGACATCTGATGCGGCTCGTATGTAAAGGCACCAAGTAAAAAAAGATTATAATATCAAAGCGCATACAAGACGATTTGCTACGCCGTACCTTTGACTGGTTTTATTGTGATTATTTTATTGCGATGATAAAATCCTCACGGATGATCGCGCGACGAGATTTTATACACCGATTATGCCTTAAAGCGCGGTATTACATGCGATGCACGCATCACATACGAGCCGTTTCCTCATCGACGACATAATTCAATTACGAGATTCCTTGCGATTTCCTATCTTCGCGTTCCGTGTGTTCTAGCGATTTTGCTGTTGTTTTTTTTTTGTCAATCAGTAACAGGTATTTAAACATCATTACTGCTTCACATCTGTTATCTAAATGCATCTGCAAACGTTATGCAACGATACAGAGGATTCAAAAAAAATTCTCGTAAATTTGTTTATACGGTTAATTATTCGTAACTTTAAAAAACTAACTGTTTATTTTCCAAATTAAATTCTCTCTTTTGAGATAAAGAGGGAATAATTTGTTTGCGTCTTTCACTTTAATCCGGGAATGAATTCTATAACTATTTAATGAATAAAAATGCTTCAATTTAAAAAAAAAACGTTACATTTCTCGGGTATTATTTATTTAGTAAATGGAACACTAAATGAATGTCTTCGCTTTATATTAGAATACTCCACGATCTCATCTCGGATATTTATTATTACGAGAAGAGTGACAGTCCATACATTCGATTTAAGACTCGCAAACGTCGCGTCTCGCGTTCTTAAAATAGCGTCATCGATTTATTTGCTGGCCATCAGGCATCTGCTCGCCCGGTCAGAATACAAATACTTAAATCGGATAATAATCTGTCGAATCGCCGATGATGCTCGTCGTTTAAGTTTTACAAACGCTTATGATAATAAATGAATGTAATTTAATCAATCTCTCTCTGTTAGTTTTCCTGAGACTTCTTTGATTGCAAATTTAATAGAATGAATCATTGCCGTTACACGAGCAGGTGTGAATATCATCTATCGTTTTAGCGTCAACGTTACGAAAGTTACGCGATATTTTGTTTATCGTTTTCGAATAAAGAAAAACGCGAGCGCTTGTGGAATTTGTATGCACGAAACGCCGTAAATATCTCGCATATTCCCGGCGCCGCGCAACGTTGATTATGGCCATAATTAAACCAGGTGCCTGGTTATTGCTGAGCTAAAGCGCAGTTAAATTGACGCAAATCAAAATATAT